CCATATTACCAGAACGGAATCGTTGGAACCACCGCTTTGCTGTTGCATTCGATACTGTATTGGGTCCATAAACAGCATAAATTTTTTTGGCCGCCTGCTCCGCCTTTTCACCTTGATCGTAGTGGTACTGAAGAATGTATCGAATTTTCTCTTTTTTTACCTCCATTTTGGAACGCTGTAACACACAACTGGCTTGACCAAACACAAAACTGTCACAGAACTTTTTTTGAAGCGTAATGTCACCTTTAAATCGCCGTATAGTATGACCCGATGCGATGTATACATCGTGAGATATGGCTCACTAAAGACATCTAGCGGAAAACGCTCAGAACTTTTTACTTTAACGTGTTTTTCACGTAAATAATAAAATGTTCAATTAAATTTATTTTAATGTTTCCACAAATTATAAAAGTAGTAAACAGGAAAATTATATTTAAAATGTGAATTTGTTCTATAAAATAAATGGATGTCACCTCTGACAGGTGACCTGCGACTATCTTTATTCTAAAAGGCGCGCGAGTAACAAAAGGTTAAGCAAGGGAAGTATATTAATTTGCGGAAAAAATTCATCTAAAAAATGTATTAAAAACTGTCTAAAAAATACATGTAAAAATCCCTACAATTTTATTAAAAACAGAAAGGAAATTGATTAACAAGGAACCCCACATAGGTATTTCACCCCGATTTGGATAAGCTTGAAATATATTGTAATTCAGACTAAAAAAGAGCCACATATTTTTTTTATACGTGCCCAGACGGACTTTTAGGCGGCAAACCCTTTGAAAAAAATCGGTTTTTTTCTTTAGGAGCATGTTTCGTGAAAAGTATAAGAGGTAGGACAAATTTTCTAGACAAAAATTAAGTAGTTTTAAGAGTACTTTGGAATGGCATAATTAGATATTTTTAAAATGTTATGATTGCCGATCCTCACCACTCACCAATTTTTTAAATAATTTTAAAATTTTGTGTCTACCAAAAAAAAAGAAAAAAAAAAATATATATATATATATATTATGCCAAATTCAACCATATATAACAATATAATTTTCCGACATATGGACTTTTCGAAAAATAAGTGGAAATATTCCCATATGACCGTAACGCTATCCGTAATCGCCTAACCTACTCGATAATATTCGCAACATATTCTTATCGAACTTCCTCATAATAATAGGTGATTAGTAATGATATCCAGAATATATAATCAAAAAACATTTCAATATGCAGGATAAATAAAAAATCCCGAACCGGTGAAATATCTCGAAAACTAAGCATCTCTGAAAGAAATGTTTTCTACAAAAGTTGTAGGGTTTAAAATGGTCTATTCACTGATCTGATCAGTCTGATCTTGTGTGGCGTCGCCAAAGTCAGGTCAAAGTCAACTTTGCTTTTTTAAATAGAAACATGTATTTTTTTCTGTTACGGAATTGTATTCTACGTAAAGAAACAAATAACTTTTGTTTGAAAAATTTTTTCATACGACCCCTATTTTTTAGTACTGAATTTTCTTGCATTTTCTATAAGTACTAAAAAGTTAATAAAAAATTCTGAAAAAATTCTCAGAGCTCTATGAGACAAATATAAGCAATTTTTATATCTTACCATTTTTCAATAAAGTTGACAGAATTTGAGTAAGAAATTATTGAAACCAATAATTTTGTAGATATTTCCGTAAATATCTTAAAAATAGGGGTCGTATGAAAAATTTTTCAAACAAAAGGTGTTTGTTCTTTTATATAGGATAAAATTCTGTAACAAAAAATACATATTTTTATTTAAAAAAGTAAAGTTGACCTTGATCTGACCTTGGCGACGCCACCCAAGGTCAGACTGACCAGATTAATGAATAGATCATTTAAAACCCTACAACTTTTGTAGAAAACATTTCTTTCAGAAATGCTTAGTTTTCGAGATATTTTACTAGTCCTGGACTTTTTACTTACTCTCTATAGACGTAAAGACGATAATAATAATGTAACAATCCAGATAGTAATCATTACGAAACGGAGTCGATTAATACATAGCGTTACTAAAAAGCCGCATAACAACAACGCGACCGCGAAACGCGTAAGGACAATGCGTTCAGTAAACATACCGCCGAACATCAGCGGATCATAGCGAATCAAGCGTGGTTCGCAAAGTATAAAACGCCGCGAATTCTTAGATCGAGATCAGATCCGATATGCCTCTCTTTCGAGAGAATCAGATTCCGATCATCCGCTCTTGAGAGAGATCCACAAGCACCGATTCCTGGTGGATTTCTGCTCGCGAATACGCGACAGAAATCATTCCGCCGTCGACTCACGGATACGTGACATCGACATTGTTTCCAACATCGTTCCTGGCAGATTTGTTGCTCGCGGATACGCGACAGGAATCACTCCACTGTCGGCGCACGAATGCGTGCCACCGACATTGTTTAACCCTTTGCGGCATACATTTTTCTTTACACGGAAAACAGCTGAAAATTGTTACCCGGGGGTTTTCGGGGTCGCTGATTACGAATCTGAAGTCAGATTTTGAAAATTCAAAATGGCGGATCCAAGATGGCCGTCCGAAAAGCGAAAAATTACCCAAACTTGATCATACTGAGTTCTCGGGGGTTTTCCGAGGTCGCTGATTACAAATCTGAAATCAGATTTTGAAAATTCAAAATAGCGGATCCAAGATGGCCGACGGAAATGTGAAAATTTACTTGATCGAGATAAAACTGGGTACTTTATGTATTCTGAATTTTGAATTTATAAGTCTGAGATCAGATTTGAATTTTCAAAATCTGATTTCAGATTTGTAATCAGCGACCTCGAAAACCCCCGAGAACTCAGTATGATCAAGTTTGGGTAATTTTTCGCTTTTCGGACGGCCATCTTGGATCCGCCATTTTGAATTTTCAAAATCTGACTTCAGATTCGTAATCAGCGACCCCGAAAACCCCCGGGTAACAATTTTCAGCTGTTTTCCGTGTAAAGAAAAATGTATGCCGCAAAGGGTTAA